TGATCAGGAATGGCTGAGAATCGGAGTGTATGCTACACACGTTCATAGCGGCCGAGGATCGGCGATCAGGAATGGCCGAGGATCGGAGCGTACACTACGCGCGTTCGTAGCGGCCGCGGATCGGCGATCGGGAATGGAAGAATCTATGAAGTGTAATGGAATAGTCTATATGATTGATCGGGCGCAGCCCGCCACAATTATCTTATAAAACTGAAACAGTAAATTAATTATATATTTCAACTATATTCACTTTATATTAGAAAGTTTCAATATCTGAATCTTTTCTTAATCAGAGTGTTATACTCAATGATCAATTATCTGATATAATCAAAGAGCTTAAACAGTTATCTTATATATTGATCTTCATTATATTCTAACATTTTGTATCATATTCAGTGATGTGTAGACTGGCTGCTGAGATTATGAATTTCACATTTGATTTCATTTAGTCTGATCTCATACATTTCTTGGCATGAATCCCGCTGGGACTGGCTATTAAAAAAACATGTAAAGTGACTATATATCAGATCTTAAAATGAAACCATGACTTGAAAAAAATAAGAAAGTGATCTCATTTGATCTCATTTAGTCTTATTCTTGGTATAAAGTTACTATTTTTAGACATTTTAAGGTTTTTTTTAAACTATTTTTAATTTTTTAAAAAGTAACACTTTTTGATAACACTTAAATGAGATTTAAAGTCATTTAAAGAAATAAAAATAATTTAAATTGAGAAGTGAAAATCATGATCTTATTTGGAAAATGTAACAAGAGTAGACAGTAAGTCTCACTGAAACAGTATGAGACTACTATCTAATGTTGCCCCGGTGGCTGAATGGTTAATGCGGCCACCTGGTAGCGCCTTGGCGTGGGAAACCAAGGCGTGTGGGTTCGAAACCCGCAGGGGATACATTAAATCCGGAACTCAAGCACCTCAGGTTCCTAATAAATACAGAGGTGTACAAATCGCTTCAATAAATCGCTCTATGTTCCTGGGCTGGGAAGTTATTATCGCATGTATCTAATTGTCACTTCTTTGTATTTCCTATGTTCTCGTTATCTTGATATGGTCTCAACACCTGTATTTCCTCCTGTATAATCAACACTTGACCTGTATTTAACATCACGCAAGGACTCATCATAAGCTCCGCTTGCATATGAGTATAATGGAAGAATAATAATAATAATAATAACTATCTAATGTTAAAACCGTGTAATGAAATCAGTAGAATTGATAATGAGACTATCAAAAAATCTGATTCTAGTTTCAGACATGATCACACGGTCAGTCTAGTGATATGACTGATTTGTTTATTTATTAAATATTATGAAATTATTATTATTGTTTAGAGAAGATATAAATTATATTAATAATATTTCAAATCTGTGATATTTAAATTATTAGTTAATCTATTCAAAATTAACAGTAGTATTATTAAAAAGCATTATTAAAAAGTAATATTAAAAAGTGTTATTAAAAAACATTATCTTTTACAAAGTAAATATAGAAGTTACTTAAGTAATCACTTTTATCTCATTCTCATCTCAAGAATCAGTCATCTTATTATTCTTTATCTTGATATTAAGATTCTTTATCAGTTTTTGCATCACAAGTTGAATCATATAAGTAATACAGAAGATATGATCTTGTTTATCATTTCAGAAATACAAAGTCAATTTTTACTTCAAGCTCTTTATCATAGTGTAGTTATTCACAGCATTGTCAGTTATAATTGTAAGAAGACTGAGACTAATATCTTAATAATCATTTTTAATCACAGTCATTAATATCTCTACTATATAATTCTCAGTATAACTACTGATCAATGATTCAAATTCAATTAATATCTCTTAATAAGTTCAGTTCTCATTAATATAATAACATATATCTCTCATAAATACAAGATTATTTATACTAGTTCATACATTTACTGTGAGAGACACTCTTCAATGATTCTTCAACTCTGATTCTAGATATTGTATATTAACTTTGTAGTATATCTTAAGATTGAACTGAAGACAGAATTAATGTGAAATATGAAGATTTGAATTAAGTATTTAAAGAAGTGTTTGAAATTCAGAGTTTTCAATTGATTGAAGAGAAAGATTCAGAGATATACATATATAAAGTAATTATTCACAAAAGTTATTAGATAAGAGTTATGAAATCAGAGTACTGATATATGATTATTTTTATATAATTTTCTTCAAATTAGAAAGTTAGTATTATTAAAAATTATTATCTGATAGAGTAACTTATCAGCTCAGTAGTAATTTTCTGATTATTTTTCTTTTATTATCTGTATTCTGATAACTTCAGATGTCAAGAAATTTCTTCAGAGTTATAATCAGTTTATAATGAATATTTCTGAATGAAGTTGCAGTGATTGTAGTAAAGAAATGACTTGTAAGAGGTCTACGCTGAATAGATTGATATAATATATAGATCTTATATAACAAAGAGAAAAATATTAAAGAAGGAAAAGAAAGAGAAAGTATAAGAATCAGTGATTGAAGTGAATATTTATACATGTATGTGATGATGTACACAGTGAAGCTTCAGAATAGAAGAATATATACATGTTTATAGCAGCCGAGAATCAGTGATCAGAATATACACATTCATAGCAGTCAAGAGTCAGTAATTGAGAATGAGGCAATAGAAATCTATGAAGTGTACAGAATAGTCTATATAATTGATTAAGTACAGCCTGTTACATTAGTCTCTCTCTTTCAGAAGCAGTTCTTATCAGTCAAGAGCTGCTGTTTCAGATAACACAGAACTCAGAGTTCAGATCAGTTAATTATAGCTGACTTATTTCACAAAATATTATCAGTTACTGTCATATAATTTCTTATCAAGAATATCTTCAATCTCTTACACAAGCTCATTATCTTCTTCTATAATCTCTGACAGCTAGACTGACCGCTGGGACCATGAATTTCACGTTTGATCTCATTTGATCTGGTCTCATACATTTCTTGGCGTGAATCCCGCTGAGGGCTATTAAAAAAACAGGTAAAGTGACTATATATCAGATCTTAAAATGAAATCATGACTTGAAAAAAATGAGAAAGTGATCTCATTTGATTCTATTTAGTCTCATTCTTGGCATAAAGTTACTATTTTTAGACATTTTAAGGTTTTTTTTAGACTATTTTTAATTTTTTAAAAAGTAACACTTTTTGATAACACTCAAATAAGATTTAAAGTCATTTAAAGCAATAAAAATAATTTAAATTGAGAAGTGAAAATCATGATCTCATTTGAAAAATGTGATAAGAGTAGACTGACCGTGTGACTGCGTCTGAGACCAGGACTAAACTTTACAGTTATCATGTTACCTAAAAGCATTACTTCTGATCATGATTTGTGTTCATCACATTGATCTCAAATCATGTTATTTCAAATATTAAAGATCTCAGATTCACTTTTCAAATAAAAATCTAGTTCTGAATAAAGAATATATTTGAATTCTTAGTCACATTTTCATTCTAATCTCATTATTGAGAATGGTATTAAATGAGATCATAAAATCACTTCTCACTTACATAATATTATAACATAATGCTCATTTGTTGAAAATTCAACAGAGAGTGTTATTAAATATTATTACTTTTCTAAACACAGATCATAATTCATATAATTTTAATTATGAAAAAAACATAAAATACAAAAAAAATAAAAAAAAAAAACAAAACAAATATAAGAAAAAATCACATTAAAAAAAAAGAAAAGAAAAAGAAAAAAATAAAAAATAAAAACAAAAAAAATCAAGATTGCAGAACTGCAGTACTTTTAAAATACTCACTTCTCAGAGTCTTCACAATGTTCATCATCAACTGTGTATCTCTCACAGTGAGAGTAACATGACTGCAATGAGCTATTGTCTTAACATCATCTAATAAATAATCAGTATATATCTGTATAAATGTGAATAATTAGAAAATATACACTTAAAAAGTGTGGTCAGGATGAACTCTGCTATCACTTGAATGATATCAAGAGTAGAATGCTGAAATCAATGATTTCTTTCATTGATTTCATAAACAAGATGTGTGAAGATGATCTTGAAGAATATAAGATTCTCTGACTTCTGATAAAAATAAATCTCATGAAGAGACTCTATTTTCATGATATCAGAGACTGAGTATTATTAAAATGTATTACTTTCATACAATGCATATACACTTACTGTGATGATTCACTCTCTGCACATGTAACTGAGAGTTGCAGCTTTCTCACACTGCACAGCTCTCTCTGAGATGCTGCTGTTGATTTGCAACTCACACAGTCTCTCAGTTCAGCATGTGCTGTGTGTATACAGCTCTGCATGCTGAGACTGTGTTGATCATTATGACCTGATGTGATACTCACTTTTCATGAGTCATGTTTTGTTTGAGAGAGAGAGGGAAAGATATAACTGTTATTTTATTGAGAAAGAGATGAATAATTAGTATTATTGAATTAATTTAATTCATCTGCATTTAAAATTTGATTAGTTTATACTCTTCAATTTGAGGGTTTCTATGAGTGTTTTAATAGTTTTCATACCAGCTTGAACTTAGTGATGAATTGAAGAAGAAGAGAAAAGAGAGAAGAAAGAAATGAGAATAACTTATCTTTATAATATAAAAACAGAGAATTGCTGTAATCATTCTCTCTAGTAATAAAGATCTGTTTTCTGCATGTATTCCTGATATAGATTATATGATAAATGCATACAAAGAATATCAATAGTGTATGTATTGAATAAAGATAATATTGCTATACAACACTGTAGTCATTTCTGTACATCTCTGAAAGCTGTTAATAGTTTCTTTGTCTCTTTATATTTGATAAGTCAATAATATATTCTGATGCACTTCTTCTTTCATCATCATTATCATCATTATTATCATCATCATTATTATCATTATGATCATCATCATCATCATCATTATTATTATCATATCATTGCCTGTCTTCATCTCTCTTTTAACACTTATTAAAATCAATCATGTCATCTCTCTTCAAATATTCTGTGGTTCTGCGGATCATCAAGGTACGTGAGCACTGTCACAGATTAAAGAAAGAGAAGAAGAAGATGTTCAAGTGTGAGAAGACAGATTGCAAGATATGTTATAATGCCTTGAAGAGACTCTGTAAGAGAGTAGAATAATAATGATTTTAAGTAATACTTCTGATAGATTTAGACTGAACTAAGTATAGAAATAAAGTGAATAGCACTGCCTGTGAGAGATTGAAAAAAAAGACAGTGAAGAGTCTTATATAGTAGTGATGAAATCAGAAGAAGTTCTGAGAATGATTTGAGATTAAGATGAAGAGAGAGAGGAAGAAGAAGAGTATTACTGTAAATAAGTAATGACAGAAGAAGATTGAGAAGGTATTGAAGTGAGAGATAAAGAAGTCAAAACTGATAAGTTTTTTATTGAGAGATAATGATTTTTAATAATAATTCTGTTCTCTAATTGATTAGCAGGAGCTGACAGAGAAGAAGAGAATTGAGGCCTTGTTCAGATCTTGAATACACTTCATGATTCAGAATATTGAGAAGACAGCTCTGCTCTCTGAGCATGTCAATCTGCTTGCTGCTGAGGTGAAACCCGAGGCAGTAGATCAGAAAATGCAGGATTTTGAGACACAGATTGATCTGGCTGAAGAGAAGCAGTGAGAACTCTTCTCTGAGAAGGCAGTGAAGAGAGATTTTGAGATGATTATCATCTCAGATAAGAAGAAGAAGAAGAAGAAGAAGAAGAAGAAGAAGAAGAATAAGAAGTGAATTGTGAAGAATGATAAGAAGAATGAGAAAGAGAAGAAGTAGATTTTTTTCTTTTTATATTAGTTAATTGTAAGTTTAAGTTTTTAATTATTAATAATTAAAATTGATTTTGAGTTTTCAAAAATTATTGTACAAGTTGTAATCAAGTCAGGAATGATATATATATATATATATATTTAACTATCATGATTTATAAATCACTATAATGTATAAGTATCAACATTTTTTCAACATTGATATTCACAATATTAATATATTTTTAATGATATTATCTGATAATGCAATTTGATAATGCTCTCTTTCACAATATTAATATATTTCAAGAAATATGATAGAGATTAATCAAGATTGTTTATTTACTTTTATACATTAATGATATTCAATCTGAGTTAGTACTAAAATTATAACTAAGCTAAGAAACAAGATTATTTTCTCTTATATTAATTCTTCTTACACACATCAGTGATCAGTTATTGAAAATAAATTATTATCTTTCTCAAATTATTATCATATCTTCTGAATTCACTTCTTTCATTTCTTTTACTTCTATTGAAGATTCACAAACTCTTCAAGAAATCACTGTAAATTATAAAGTCTACATTATTTACAATTCAACACTGAATACTCTCTTTCAATTACAATGAATAATCACTTCATTCTTCACATCTGATTTCAGGTCATGAAATTTATGAAAAACTCAACACAAATATTGAGATGAACTATAAAATAATTATCAACAGATTACATTGCAGATTACTGAAGAGTCATCTCTTTACTATAATTATTATAACTTTATTCAGAAATATTCATTATAAACTGATCATAGCTCTGAAGAAATTTTCTGACATCTGAAGTCATCAGAAAGCAGATAATAAAAGAAAAATAATCAGAAAATTACTACTGAGCTGATAAGTTACTTTATTAGATAATGATTTTTGATAATGCTAACTTTCTAATTTGAAGGAAATTATGTGAAAATGACTTTGTATCAGTACTCTGATTTCACAACTCTTATCTGATAACTTCTGTGAATAATTACTTTATATGTGTATATCTCTGAATCTTTCTCTTCAATTAATTGAAAACTCCGAATTTTGAACACTTCTTCAAATGCTTAATTTAAATCTTCATATTTCACATTGATTCTGTCTTCAGTTCAATCTTGAGACACACTACAAAGTCAATATGTAATATCTAGAATCAGAGTTGAAGAATCATTGAAGAGTATCTCTCACAGTGAATGTATAGACTAGTATAAACAATCTTACATTTATAAGAGTTACATGTTATTACATTGATGAGAACTGAACTTATTAAGAGATATTAATTGAATTTAAATCATTAATCAGTAGTCATACTGAGAATTATATAACAGAGATATTAATAACTGTGATTAAAAATGACTATTGAGATATTAGTCTCAGTCTTCTTATAATTACAACTGATAATGCTGTGAATAACTACACTATGATGAAGAGCTTGAAGCAAAAATTGGCTTTGTATTTCTGAAATGATAAATAAGGTCATATTCTCTGCATTACTCATGTGATTCAACTTGTGATGCAAACACTGATAAAGAATCTTAACATTGAGATAAAGAATAATGAGATGACTGGTTCTTGAGATGAGAATGAGATGAAAGTGATTACTCAAGTAACTTTTACATTCACTTTACAAAAGATAATGTTTTTTGACAATACTTTTTAATATTGCTTTTTGATAATGCTTTTTAATAATGCTACTGTTAATTTTGAATAGATTGACTAATAATTTAAATATCATAGATTCAAAACATTGTTAATATAATTTGTATCTCTTCTAAATAATAACAATAATTTCATAATATTCAATAAATAAACAAATCAGTCACATCACTGAATATGATACAGAATGTTAGAACACAGTGAAGTTCAATATATAAGATAACTGTTCAGACTCTTTGATTATATCAGACAATTGATCATTGAGTGCAATACTCTGATTGAGAAAAGATTCAGATATTGAAACTTTCTGATATAAAGTGAACTCAGTTGAAATATGTAATTGATTTAATGTTTCAGTTTTATAAGATAATAAAGACAGTCTCACTCACTTGTACATCAATGCTGCAGTCAGTCTGATAAGTGTATAACAGTTTATTTACTCATCTTGAGAAGCAGTTGAATCACTTAAAAAGAAATTCAGTCTGGGATGATGCTATAGCACAGGCTATTATTACTGTAAGAAATAAACTGGTATATTACTACAGCAAAATGAAACAATCTTTTGCAGAGTACTATACTATAGCAGCTCTACTAGATCTCTTCTGTCAAGTTAATATCTACACTTCTCAAGATTAAACAGAGAAGAAATGAGACTCAGATGTCAAATTAGTCTAAGACTACTATAATACCAACTATCAGAGATTTGAATGAGCAGATGTTTGAGATGTGAAGACAGTGAAATACAATTCTCTAGTAAGTAATAATCTTTGATAACACTTCATATCATATAGAACTATAATACTAACTTTGAAACAGAACTTATATACATTGATTACAACTGAAAATCAGGTAAAACTATATACTTGTAAAGCTGAATTTAACTGCTATCTTCAAGATAATTCAATGAATTTATACATCAAATCAATTCTAGAGTTATAAAAAATTGTTGAGAGTACATATTCAACTATTACACTGATGATATATGATATTCTGACAATTTCATTGACAGAGATGAGAATGAAGTGAAAGTTCAACTCAAGTTGAGATATTTATCACTATTGCTGAGAACAATTACAAGGAGAAATAATCAAGAAACTCATGATTGTAAAACATGAAATTATCAGACAGTTTAATACCTCTGATCACAGCATATCAGAGAAGTGTAGTTTTCATGAGAAAGTAAAGAATAAACTTACACAAGAATGTATTTAGTTATTTCATGAGTGTTATCAATAATTGTTATCAAATTCTGATTATATAAGCAATCACTGAATGAACTGAATGAGACTGATTTTAATCTTCAGTCTCAGTCTCATTCTGATTTTAAAAGAATGATTATCTTTCACAGTTTATTCTGGAAAATTACTCTCATTTCACTGTTCTTGAATTAAATCTGGTCATTTTTCATGTCATTTCTCTCAGAAATGGTTCATTTTCAGATTTTTTTGAGACTTGGTCCTGATGAGACTCACGTCAAGAAATGTATGAAACCAGATCAAATGAGACTAAATGTGAAATTCATGGTCCCGCCGGCCAGTCTAGATAAGAGTAGACAGTAAGTCTCACTGAGACAGTATGAGACTACTATTTAATATTAAAACTGTGTAATGAAATCAGTCAAATTGATAATAAGACTATGAAAAAATCTGGTTCTGATCTCAGACACAGTCACACAGTCAGTCTACTGACAGCTGTTAGTCAGAAGTCAGTTAAGAAGAGAACAGATCAGTGACAGCACAGTGAAGTAAGCTTGTATAAAAGATATTATGAATCTCTGATAATATATCAAGATAATAGTTATAACTATCTAGAACTTCTATCACTTTATACTTAGTATAATGATAATTCAGTGTATGAGATGAACATGTAATTCATATATTCTTAAGATTCAATCACACTAAGTCTTCTATCTTATACTGCTTAGTGAGATCTTAGTGAACATTGATTTAATTCTCTTGATCTTGTTTCACAGCTGTTATGAAGGCTTCTGCTCAGTCATAAGCATCTCAGAGCTTTATTACTATATTATCAGTGATCTGAATCAGACTGCAGAAGTTTAATGTGAACTGTGTAATCTCTAGAAGATTTAACATCTTTATGTAATAACTGTGTATAAGAAAGAACAGACTTACATCTGTTGAAACAGTATCTTAATTATTAATAGCTATCTCTGTGTGTAGAAGAAGATCATGTTAATTATCTTATAAGTAATTGCAGAACTTACAGTGATAATTCTTCACAGTCTGAATTATCTATTCTGATATATCACCAGTCTTGAGATGATAAGCAGTTGATAGACAGTGTGTAATCTTGAGAACTAGACAGATTCTTATTCAGAGAGCACTTATAAATTGACAGTCTTAATTCAATACTATAGATCTCAGTATTTCATACATTTGATAGAACAGACTCTGTAGAAAAGCTTCAGTAACTTGTTCAGTATTCATCTTATTACAAGATTTCAATATTTTATCTTTACTTAATCAATTCACAATGATCAGAGTGTTTCTACAATTCTTACTCTTAGATAAATTAATAGCAAAGTCAATTACTACATCTCATCAGATTCTATCAGAGATATTAAGTGATTTCAATAGATCCTTTCTACAGTTCTTTTATAAGATAACAGAAGAATAGTGATTGCAGTTTCAGATAAAGTGTCTGATACTATTTAATATCTCAGATCTGTAGAACTCTTAGAAGAATATTCTATATAGTTATTCACAGTCTGAATAATCAGTTATACACAAATCATGCATCTCTTATATTATTCAAGTATATAAGAGTTTGAAGTGAGAGACTCAGTGTCATTTGCAGAATCATAGAGTGCTATTATCATCAATTGAATATTCTGAGATATCAGTTCTTATACATAGTTCTGAGAGAAATCAGAGTGCTTCTTGATATACTGCTTTGATAAGAGTCTGAAGAAGTTCATCAGTCTGAGCTACCGTATGTCACAGTTCATTCAGTATAGAGAAAGTGAAGATATCAATATCTGTATCAGTTTAAAGAGAGAATGTTCTAATCAGAGAAGTATATATAGTGTCATGAGTTATTCTATCTTAATCAATTAATATCTTCAAATCTAAGAGCTGATGTTCTCAGTTCATTCAGTGTGTGTCTGTCACATCAGATAATATATCTTATTCTCATCATAAGAGAGTGTCTGTCATTGAGTTCTGACTG